GTGGGTTCGTGGCGGGAAAGGCGGCGCAGCAGTTAAGAGCATTTGTGTGTTTGGTGGAGGATCCAGCTTCAGTTCACAGCAGCCATGATGGCTAACAACACTCTGTAGCTCCAGTTTTAGGGGATCCGACGCCCTGTTCTGACCTCAGAGGCTCTAGGCACACATGCAGGTGAAACACTCATATGCATACATCTAAGTTTTGTTTTGTTTTATCTATTTATTTATTTATTCATTCATTCATTTATTTATTTATTTTGAGACAGGGTTTCTCTGTGGCTCTGGAGCCTATCCTGGGATCAGCTCTTGAAGACCAGGCTGGTCTCGAACTCGCAGAGATCTGCCTGCCTCTGAAGATTTTTTTTTAAGTCTTTAAAAATAAAATAGACTATGTAAAAGGAACTAGTTCCAACTTTAAAGATTGTTCTCTTAACTCCAGGGTTACAGAAGAATAAGCTGCGTGGAATATTTCTTCTGTTCTATGTTTGGTTTTAGAAAATAAAATGTTTCGCCCCCAAGTCCAAGCATTCCAATTCCTTTCTTGTCATGTGCTATGTTAACAGCAAATTTCAACTGCCAGTTGAGTAATTCTGCGTGGTGTTTTCTTGTCCCTGTGTGGCAGACACCCATGGCTTTCTCATTCACCCCGTCTGGGCCTCCAGCGTGGTATAATTATCCTGGAAAGCCAAGATGTGTGAGAGCTTAGCTTGATTACCCTAATGACGCACAGTGTTTCCACAGACCTCTCAATTCCTGAATAATCATCATTATCATATTCATGTGTTTAGCCAAAAGCTTAATTGGAAGGTTCCAGAATGAAACAATGCTACACAAGGAAAAAGAAACTCGCAGTCATTTTTCTTTGAAAAAAAATTTTTTTTCAAATAGAAATGCCACTAATACATGCCATGAAATTAAACCATCCCATCATGCAGAAGCAATCATACCACATGCCAGTCACTCCCAGCTTCACCCCAGCTGCGTTCCCATGGAGGCAAAGCATGCAGACTCTTCCTGCTGTTTGTATTGATCATTATCTATATATTTTGTTTTGTTTCGTTTTTTCGAGACAGGGTTTCTCTGTCTTGTTCTGGAGGCTGTCCTGGAACTCGCTCTGTAGACCAGGCTGGTCTTGAACCCTTGAATTCACAGAAATCTGCCTGCCTCTGCCTCCCAAGTGCTGGGATTAAAGGTGTGCACCACCAACTTTCGGCTTCCAGTTCGGCGGCGGAAAACTACTGGGCTCATCTGAGTTACTTGTTTGTCTCTTGTGAGTAATTTCTACAATAAATACTTACTTATACTTTCAGTAAGTGTGCCGTTTATCGTTCCAGCATCACCCACCTATCTTGCTTTGCTATTGGCCAATAGTGCTTTATTCATCAACCAATAAGACAAACATATGCAGAAGACAGCCCCATCAGGTTCCCCTCGACCTAAGATACCTACCTGCTCTTGGTTGCTGAGCCTTCTGCTCTTGTTTTTGTTTGTTTGTTTTTCTTTTTTTTCCTAAATTTTCTCTGTGCATCCTTGGCTGTCCTGGAACTCACTATGCAGACCAAGCTGGGCAAAATCTACTTGCCTCTGCTGCCAGAATGTGGGGACTAAACGTATGCACCACCACGTCCAGCCTCCTGTTCTTATTCTATTTTTTTTAAATTTATTGTTTTATTATGTACACAGTGTTCTGCCTGCATGTATACCAGAAGAGGGCATCAGACCCCATCACAGATGGCTGTGAGCCACTATGTGGTTGCTGGGGATTGAACTCAGGACCTCTGGAAGAGCAACCAGTGCTTTTAACCACCGAGCCATCTCTCCAGCCCGTTCTTATTTTTTGAAACCAAATTTCAGTATGAAGTTCAGGTTGTCCTGGAGCTTGAGAATCCCCCCCCCCACGCCTCTCAGCCTTCTGAGCTTTAGAACTGTAGTCTTGTACACTTTTCCTGATCATTCAGGGGTTTTGGGCGTGGCAGGGGAATAACCCCTGAAAATTCTCAAGGACTAAGTGTTAGGCTATCACAAGGCTGCTGTATGGGAGTGATGGCAAGGGAAATGGGGGGGAGAGTCCAGGCTTGCACCACTGTAGAAATGGGGGTCCAGGCTTACACCACTGTAGAAATGGGGGTCTAGGCTTGTACCACTGTAGAAATGGGGGGAGTCTAGGCTTGCACCACTGTAGAAATGGGGGTCCAGGCTTACACCACTATAGAAATGGGGGTCCAGGCTTGCACCACTGTAGAAATGGGGGTCCAGGCTTGCACCACTATAGAAATGGGGGGGATTCCAGGCTTGCACCACTGTAGAAATGGGGGTCCAGGCTTGCACCACTGTAGAAACGGGGGGGGGGATTCCAGGCTTGCACCACTGTAGAAATGGGGGTCCAGGCTTACACCACTATAGAAATGGGGGGGAGTCCAGGCTTACACCACTATAGAAATGGGGGGGCCCAGGCTTGCACCACTGTAGAAATGGGGGGATTCCAGGCTTGCACCACTGTAGAAATGGGGGTCCAGGCTTACACCACTGTAGAAATGGGGGATCCAGGCTTACACCACTGTAGAAATGGGGGGCCCAGGCTTACACCACTATAGAAATGGGGGGGGAGCCCAGGCTTGCTCCACTGCAGAACACAGTGATTTCTGCATCTAGTGACAGCTCAATGCTGAGGAATGTGGACAGCCAACCCCTTTGTTTATGAAATGTCAGAAACCAGGGCACATTTGACCTGGAAAGGATTTGTATTTGCTGCTGTGTCTGCATGCTTTGCCAGCAGGGGACCAGGGCAGGAAGAGGGCAGGGTGGGTGTGGGTGTCGCACCAAATGCACACACACCATTTAAGGAGGTCCTCATTCCTAAGGCACAGTCCCCAGAGAGCTGAGTTCTGCTCTAACACACCAGTGCTACCTGGACAGGGAAGGCCAGGGCACATCCGTGTATTAGTGATGGATAGCTCTCCAGAGAAGCACATCAATAGGATATATATAGATTTATAAGAAGAGGTTTAGATAGGAATTGGCTCGCGCGATTATAGAGGCCAAGGAATCCCACCATCTGCTGTCTTTTGTAAAGCTGGAGTGCCAGAAAAGCACGTGGTCTAATTTATCCTGAAGCTGCGGGCCTCAGGCTGAGAGCAAGTGTGGGAGTGGGGACTGAATGTTGTTCTAGTTTCTGCGATAAAACACTTTGACTGGAAATAACAAAGAGGAGAAAACGGCTTATTTGGTGTCTTAGGGTTTCCATTGCTGTAAAGAGACACCATGACTGTGGGCGTTTTGACAGATCGGATGGAAAGGTATCCTGGGTCTCGGGAGTCACAGAAAACTGAGTCTTACACAGCTCACCTGGAAAGGTATCCTGGAGCTCAGGGAGCCAAGGACCATCACAGGTTGCAGTAAGCTTAGCTGCTTACAGCCTTGCCTCAGAGAAAGGCTTCCCCAGTGTATTAGCCAGGGTCTTCCAGCTGGGGATGTTCGCCCAGTGTAGCAGTTTTGTCCAGCAGAAGAGGGTTTCCCGGGCAAAGTTGCTACAGTTCAGCTCTGCTCAGGGAGAGTGGAGAGCAGAGAGTGGGGAGCGGTTTCCCTGGCAAAAGTGTTACAGCCCTGCTCGCTCTGCTCTGCCCAGGGTGGTCTCTGCTCCGCCACAAAAGAAGATCTTCACCCAAAGCCCATCCAACGGGTTTATTAGGAGGGAAGAATCCAGGAGAGTGGCAGAGGACACCCTGGTAGCATGAATAGTCACAAGCTGAACAGACACAGGGTTTATATAGGGCTTCCAGGGTAGGGATTGGTCAGATTTTAATGCTGAGCTCAGATTGGCTAGAGCTTTGCTCAGGGATTGGTTAGTTTTCTGCACAGGGTCAGATTTGCCTCTGGTTTCAGGGCCAACGTGTGTTTCTTTCTCTGGTTATTTTTAGCCTTTTGGCTCTAGTTTTAGGGCCAGGGTGCATTTCTTTAGTTCTGGTTGCAGGGCCCAAGTGTGTTTCTTTGGCTCTGCTCAGGGTGTGTTTCTTTCTCTGGTCCTTTTTAGCCTTTTAGCTCTAGTTTTAGGGCCAGGGTGCATTTCTTTCGCTGACTCTGATTCCAGGGGCAAAGTGTGTTTCTTTGGCTCTGCTCAGGGTGTGTTTCTTTGGCTGGTCCTTTTTCCCTACAATGACCACGACAACTCTTATGAAGAAAACACTTAATTGGGGCTGGCTTACAGCTTCAGAAGTTCGGTCCATTATCATCATGACGGGGAGCATGGTAGCGTGCAGGCAGACTGTGCTAGAGCAGCTCAGAGTCTGCAAGCCACAGGAAGTTGACTGTCACACTGAGGGAATGCGTCAGTCTCGCAGTGAACTTGAACTTGGCCTCAGGAAGAAGGAAGCAGAAAGAGGAAGCTTGAGGCGTGGTTTCTGCTTGCGCTCTTTCTGGTGCATCAGCCAATCTGGTAGGAAGGGCAGAGAGACACTCCGGCGGTTCTTGGTATGTTTCTGTGCAAGTGTTCCCCAGTAAGCACCTGTTTATCATTTATCTTGGGTCTAGTGAAGTCATCATATCCTCACCTTCAAGGGAAACTGTTGGGGAAGTCCTGTGTATATGTCAATAAAGCACTGTTGGCCAATAGGGAAGCAAGATAGGTGGGACTAGGAGTCCAGGAGGACTCAGGGAAGGAGAAACACAGGAGTCAAGATGTAACCGCCATGGGGTAGGAAGCCCGGAAACCTCTCCGGTAAGAGACATACTTAGATTAACAATTATGGGATAAATACTTAAGTCAGAGCTAGCCAGTAAGAACCAAGCAAGGCCAACAGCTTCATAATTAATATAGCCTTCTGTGTGTTTATTGGGGACTGATGCAGCTCTGGAACCAGGCTGGCGGGAAGGCTTCTCTTTACAGGAAGTTTAAGCAAAAGAGACCTCAGGGCCCACCCCCGCAGTGGCACACTTCCTCCAAGAGGCCACACCTCCTAACACTGCCCCTCCCTTTCAAACCACCACATTTGGCTTGCATTTCAGACCACAGTCTGCGGTTGAGAGAAGTCTGGCCAGGGACCTGGAAGGAACTGGGAAGAAACGGTGCCTGCCAGCCTGTTCTCAGGTTCATGCTCAGCTGGCTACCTTTTTACGCAGAAGCGCTTTCCGAGGGATGGTGTTGCCCACAATGCGCTGGGGCCTCCTGCACCTACTAATAATCAGCCCCCGGCAGACAGGGCTCACCTGATCTAGGCAATTGCCCTCAACTGAGCCTTGCCTTTGAGATGACTAGTCTATGTCGTTTCCAGTCAAACCTGATTACAGGTATGTTCTGGAACCAGGAGCTCTGGTGTCTGAGGACAGGGGAAAATGGATGTCTTACCCTGACTGGTGGGGGGTGGGGTGGGAGTGGGGTAGGTGGAGAAGAGGAAGAGCAGGAGGAAGGGGAGAGGAGGAGGGAAAGAGAACATGAGAAGCTAGTGAAAAGGTCTTTTTCACAGGGAGACACAACACGCATGACTACTCCCCCAAAACTGGAAGTCACAGCATGTTAAAGGAATGGTCATATCCACGTCCAGCTTGGTGAGCCTACGGGTTGTTTTTTTGTTTGTTTGTTTGCTTTTGTTTTTCCAGACAGGGTTTCTCTGTATTGCTTTGGAGGCTGTCCTGGAACTCGCTCTGTAGACCAGGCTGGCCTTGAACTCACAGAGATCCGCCTGCCTCTGCTTCCCGAGTGCTAGGATTACAGCCTGTGAGCTGTTAATAGGATTAGTGACAGGAGTGTGGATGATTTGGAAAGGCAGCTACATCTCTGAGAAGCCCACCCAAACAGGATAGGCCCACCCCAGTGTGAGACGACCACCCTGGCCTGAGAAGCCCACCACGGCGTCAGCTGCCCACCCAACAACTCACAGGTAGCTCACAGTCCTCAGTAGTTTCCTGTCTGCACCTCAGCTGGCAGTCTCCCCTTCCCCTCCTCTCTGCACCTCAGCTGGCAGTGTCCCTCCGCCCTCAGCAAGTGTTTACTCCTTTGCTGAAGCTGGGCAGGGACCTTCAAGGATCTCCTAAGTTTTGCCTTTCCCAGATGTGACCTTGCCTTTATCTCTTAAGTCTCTCGAGTGCGTCCCTCCCTCCTGCGGGAGACTCACACAACACATGCCTTGCCTGAAAACCAAGGCCCGGAGGAGGCTGAGGGTGGAGGGCTCTGGAATCCAAGGCCAGCCCAGCTACAGAATGAGACCCCGTATCAAAGCAAAACCGAAATGTGTACCTCCACGTACATGTGTAAGAAGACTCATCCTTTTATACAATTACTATTCATTGATTCAAAAACAAAATCTGCCAAAGCACAACACAGATGTCCCACAAGATACCTGAGAAAATCAATTTACAAAGACATCTGATTTGGCTCGTGAGTTCAGAGATCTCAGCCAATGAATGACCGGTCCGTTTGCTTTGGGCCTCTGGCAAGGCCGCTCATTGAGTGCCGTGGGTGGTGGAGCAATACCCGTCACTTCATGACCAAGAAGTGGTGGATGGGGATGGAGGTCGGGGCCAGGGTTCCACCACCCCCTTGCTTTGTTTGTTTTGAGACAGGGTTTCTCTGTGTATCCCTGGCTGTACTGGAACTCCGCTCTGCAGACCGGGTTGGTCTCGAACTCACAAAGGTCCGCCTACCTCTGCTTCCCATTATTCAGTTTAATGGTGCCATGCTAGTTTCCTCCCAGAGCCCTCTTACCAAAGTGCCCAGACGTAATGTTTTATTAGTACCCGAGCAGCCCTTTGCCCAGTCAAGGCCACGCCCAAACTTAACTCTCATGACCTGTCAAAGGAAATCAGCGTCAACCAGGGATGGAAACGGCAGCCTAAAGGAAAGATTGCCTTCCGGAGGATCAAGGTCACCATTTACCACGCTCTTGCCCAAGCATTCCATGTGGTCTTCGCACTACCCGGGGTTCAGATTCCTGGAACTGGAGCTACAGTGGTTGTGAGTCACCGTACGGGTGCCAGGAGGCAAACCCGGGTCCTCTGCACGAGCTGTAGGCCGAGTCACCTCTCCAGCCCCCTCAACTCTGCGACAGTCTCTAGTTAGAAGAGCGATCAGTAGCTGATTCCAGTGTGCACGATTTTTGAGGGCAAAAACCTGTATTTTATCCGTTTCGCATCTTAAGGGTCAGCTGCATTTGCCGCCGCACGTGGTAATCTACGCTCGTGGTTCTAGCATTCAGGACACTGATGCAGGAGGATTGCAAATTCACACACAGCTTGGGCTATTCCTCTTTTTGAGACCACGCCTCAAAAGAACATCTCGATTATGTGTTCTGATAGTGACTTGAGTTATTTATAAAGTCCAAATAGCAAATTATGCCAATAAGCATAATTACTATCAAGTAGAAGAATAGAGTAGTCCATATATTTTAGCAAAAATACTTTCATCAAATTTGTCTTAGGAGATTCCAAGTATCAAAATTGACGAGTTTGGGGGTGGGTGAGCTGGGTAAGTGGTCAGGACCACTGGTCGCTCTTCTAGAGGACCCGGGTTCAATTCCCACCATCAGTAACTCCAGTCCTGGGTGATCCGATGCACTCTCTTGGCCTGCACAGGCACATGACAAGGCTCACACGCGTACACGCAGGCAAAACACGCATGCACATAAAAATAAATGGATCTTACAGAAAGAAAAAAAAGACAAATTCTGGGATGCAGAGATGACTCAGAAGTATTTACTGCTCTCTTGCGATGTTCAGCGACCAACCCTTCAGCCCCAAATAAACACACAGACGATCTATCAATTAAAAACTATTGGCCGATAGCGAGGGTGTCTTACTGGCTGGCTCTCTCTTAATTATTAACCCATAGTTGCTAATCTATGTAACTACATGGCCTTATCTTACCAGAGAATGCCTGGCGCATCCTGTCTTCCCTGTCTCTACGTGATGTCCCTTTGCAGCCTCTCTTTCCTCTCTCCCCTTAATTCTCCCTGTCTCCTCATCTCCTAGTCCTGCCTGTCTTCCTGTCTCTCCTGACCAACCAGTGTTTTATTCAATAACCAATAAGGGAAACATATACACAGAAGAACATCCCCCATCATCTCCTCTTTTCTGTCTAAGTGAAAAGAACGGTTTTAACTTTAACATAGTAAAATTATATATAACAAAACAGTTATCAAGTAAGAACTATAGTAAACAATATTCGGTTCATTAACATTTGGCAAAATCTAAAGAAAATATTCTATCTTCTATCCTATCTTTGTGAATCTGAAGTTTTTTGTTTTTTTTGTTTTTTTTTTTTTTTGGTTTTACGAGACAGGGTTTCTCTGTTTTGGAGGCTGTCGGTCCAGCCTGGCCTCGAACTCACAGAGATCCGCCTGCCTCTGCCTCCCGAGTGCTGGGATTAAAGGCATGCGCCACCAATGCCCGGCGAGTCTGAAGTTTTATGTGTACCATATCTTATCATAACTAGGGAAAACCATAACCATAACTATCTGTCTTCAACTCCATCAAAGACCTCAGAAGGATAATATGTAAACTCTAGAATGGACAGAGACCTCTCACTGTCTGAAAAGTCATCCAAAGTTCCTCTGTAGTGTTGGAGAATCCATCTTCAGCCTACAGGCCAAGAGAGTCTGGCAGACTCAGTGAAGCAGGAAATTTGAAACTGTCCTGCCTGTATTGACAGTCATTTTTCTCTGTGTCCTGTAGAATGTCGGGCAGATTCTTCCATGAAGCAGGAACCCTGAAGGAATGTCCCGTCTTGTTTTGGTAAATTCAGCAGTCACTTTCCTGTGGATCCTGTATGGCCAGTTTGGACATTATACAGTCAAACAGTCCAGGCAAGAGCAGTTTCTTGCCCAAATGGCTGGTCTTGCCATGTCAAAGGCAAACTCTATAATGAGTTTCTTCTATGCCCATCTTCCTCTCTGATGTAATTGGTGTTGCCAGGAGCAGCTATGTCTCATTGCCACTAAAAACCCTAAGCCATTTTAAATGTCGTATTCTGTATGTCTTTGAAAGGTCTGAAGAATATCTACCCATTTGAAATATATCTCTACATATCTACAAAACCTAACTAACGTAAGTTTTGACTATTATAGGTTACTACAATCTGTAATTACACATTACATTTTTTAAACGAGCTGTATAAACACAATACCTAAACAAGAGAAGAAATATGCACATCACAAAATTGACCTTAAATTTGTATCAATAAATCGAAATGCATACCAATACAAATTATCCATTTCTATATCATATTCTGCTCCCCCTTTTAAGAAAGATATTGGCTGTGATCATTAACCATTTATAACCAACCCCATTTAAATGAGAACAAACATACATAAACAATATTTGGGAATTTGGGAGTCGTTATCTCCAAACTGCATCCTGCTGTTAGGGGTTGCTGTCAAAACCATGGGATCCTGAGAAAACCCAGAAACCTGCCCAAATCCTCGCTGTCATGGTCTGTGAGGCTGTACGGTCCCAGGTGTCTTGGATGTTGGATCACCTGCTTCAGGGGGTCTTTCTTGACCAAACCATATTAGCCTGGAAGGAATCCACAGCTTTTCATTTTCTGTGGAAACAAAAACAAAATCTCTTTTCCAAAGTAACATGCCCTTAGACTTAAATTTAGAATTCAAGGCATTTTCAAAATATGAAATTTGGATTAATTCAGCAGAATTGATTATCAAATGTCTTTTATCAGTCTTTGCATTTCCCTCAGCCATCAAACAATTCAAAGACAACACAATAATGTACAGTACCCAGACTCTCTGTGTACTTTCCATCTTTATGTCGTTTACATGGCTTTTTTAATCACTCTATTTCTTTTACTCTTGTTTTTTGTATTTTGGGACAGGGTTTCTGTGTGTACTTTGGCTGTCCTGGAACTCACTCTGTAGACCAGGCTGGCCTTGAACTCCCAGAGATCCGCCTGCCTCTGCCTCCTGAGTGCTGGGATTAAAGGCGTGGACCACCACACCCAGCTACTCTATTCCTTTTTTATTTTTTGTTAAAGAACTTTATTCTTTTTCTTTTCTCTCCCAAGCCTACAAATATTTTTAAACACATTGTAAACACTTTAGAGCTTTTTCTTCATCTGAACCTGTCTTTACGGTATATCCCTTTTTCTGGCTATGAGTCTTTTATCTGCTAAACAGCATGGCTAAAATTAAACCGGCGGGTGGCCCCATTCTATTCCTTGGCTTTCTGAGAGTCCAGCTTCATGCTTATTGCCACCACTCCATGTAGTTTCTAGATCCATGTTACCCCGAAGAAGCATGCTGCCGCCAGCTGCTCAGAAATACCATTTAATTGTTTGGTAGCAGGGCCTCTTAAAAGAGCCCTGTGCTTTTTGCTGAGTCAGGAAACCTCTCTTAAAGGAGCCCGAGCCTCTGTTTGTCTCTAGGAAACAGAGCCCACCTGAGGAAATGCTGCTACCAAGAAGCCATGCTTGACTTTGCTCTTTTGTTTTTAAAAATCCCCCATAAAACTTTTGTTAGGTTTTGGGCAGAAAATCTGGCTTCACATTGGACACCATTTGAAGATGGAGGTTTCTGTCCTGCCAGATTCTTCACCCCCAAATAAACACAGACACTATGGTTTTTTTTTTAGATTTATTTATTTATTATACATACAGTATTCTGCCTGCATGTATGTCTGCAGGCCTGAAGAGGGCATCAGGTCTCATTATAGATGGCTGTGAACCACCATGTGGTTGCTGGGAATTGAACTCAGGACCTTTGGAAGAGCAGTCAGTGCTCTTAACCTGTGAGCCATCTCTCCAGCCCCCACACACAGACACTATGTTAATTATAAAATTGTTGGCCGATGGCTAGGGCTTCTTACTGGGTGGTGCTCTCCTAATTACTAACCCATAACTACTAATCTATGTATTTCTACATGGCCTTATCTTGCCAGAGAACGCCTAGGACATCCTATCTTCCCGGTCTCTACATGGAGTCCCATCCAGGCCTCTCTCCTCAGCATTCTCCTTGTCTCCTAATCCTGCCTATCTTCCTGTCTCTCCTGGCCAACCAGTGTTTTATTCATCAACCAGTAAGAGAAACACATATATAGAAGAACATCCCACATCAAACAAGTATCCCTGTCATTATTCAGGAGCTGGTGGTCCAAAGAAAGACCTGTTACATACGCCCAGGAAGTCAGAAGAGGGCATGGAATCCTCTGGAGTTGGTGTTATAGACCGCTGGGAACCACCCATGATGGGTTCAAGACCGTGAAATTAAGTCCTCTGAATGAATAGTGTGACCCTGACCTGTCTCTCTAGCCCCCGAGACCCCATGTCCAAACAACTTAGAAAAATTATAAAGAAAAGATATCCCAGATCCCAGAGGGAGACTGTAGGAAGACTGAGGGACTACTAAAAGCTTGGGGACTTTTCTGTTCTGGTTTTTTTTTTTTTTTTTTTTTTTTTTTTGGTTTTTCGAGACAGGGTTTCTCTGTGGCTTTGGAGGCTGTCCTGGAACTCGCTCTGTAGAACAGGCTGGTCTTGAACTCACAGAGATCCGTCTGCCTCTGCCTCCTGAGTGCTGGGATTAAAGGTGTGCGCCACCAACGCCCAGCCTGTTCTGGTTTTTAGAGGCTTAGTTACTAGGACTGGGGATTGGTACCAAGCTGAGTGGCTGTAAGCATTTTTTTTTTTCAAGACAGGCTTTCTCTGTGTGGCTTTGGAGGCTGTCCTGGAACTCGTTCTCATAGACTAGGCTGGTCTTGAACTCACAGAGATCCGCCTGCCTCTGCCTCCCCAGTGCTGGGAGTAAAGGCGTGCGCCACTGGCAGACTCTTTTGCCCCTGAACATGTGTGTGAACAAGTACAGCATGACGGCATCTGTCCTCAGTGTTCCGCCTGACACAGGCTGTCCCTGTGATATGCAGCAGAGGTACCGGCCTCACACTGTGCCTACTGAAAAAGCATAGCACGTGGCCTAGAGAGGTGACAGCTCAGCAGTTAAGAGCGTAGGCTGTGCTTCCAGAGAATGTGGTTTCAATTCCCAGCACCCACTTAGCAATTCACAACTGTCTGTAACTCCAGTTCCAGGAGTTCCCGTGCCCTCTTCTGGCCTCCTAGGACAGCAGGCACATACGCGCTCGGGCGCAAACACACACACACACACACACACACACACACACACACACGCACGCACAGGCACACGCACAGGCACACGCACAGGCACACGCACAGGCACACACACAGGCACACACGCACAATACCAAGGCACACATGTAGGCCAAGTATCTGTAAAATATAATCCAAGCAATCAGATGATACATGACATGTTGTCTCCACTTTCGATTGTGTTAGCCATACTTTAGATTGACCTGGAAAGGCAGGTTCCAAGGTAGGCTTCTCAGATCTTTTGGGTCCCACATCAGGACTTGGTGAGTCAAGGGAGACAGCCAAGTCTTCTTGTCTCCCCACAGTCACAAACACTCCAGCTACCGTATCTAAATCTGCCATTAAAGTAGCCAGGTCAGATAATCCTGGAGAAAGACATCCCCCAGTGGTAACTTTGTATCCCTCGGGATAAAAGATGACATGTCTTGGTGACAGATAATCCTGGAGAAAGACATCCCCCAGTGATAACGTTGTATCCCTTGGGATAAAAGACATGGGCGAGGGCCCACAGAGTTCTAGAAACTGTGGGCTACAATAGGCATGGAATTTTTGTTTCTTTGGTTTTGGTGGCCAGGCGTGGATGGAGCAGGGGTCAGCAGGCTGGAGTCGGAATGTGGGAGGGTTATGGGTTTGAGATCCATCTGAACAATATAATGACACCATGCTTAAAAAAATCCATTCAAATAAATAGGGGGTGGAGAGGTGACTTAGGGGTCAAGAGAACTGGCTACTTTTCCAGAGACCTGGGCTTCAATTCCCAGCACCCACATGGTGGCTCTCAACTATCTGTAACTCTGGGGTCTGATACCCTCTTCTGACCTCCTCAGACATCAGGAATACATGTGGCTGTTGAGAGAAGCCTTTTCCTTGCCAGCCGCTTTGGTTTTTTCCCCACCAGTCGCCTGGGCTCTGCCAAGTTGTAGTCCCCAAATAACACACAAGACCTTGTACTAATTATGAAGCTGTTGGCCTTGCTTGTTTCTTATTAGCTAGCTCTGACTTAAGTATTTAACCCATCTAAGTATTTCTCTTACCGTATGGACATCTTACTTCTCTGGCGGGCTACATGATGACTCCCTGTGTTTCTCCTACCCAGAGTCCTCCTAGACTCCTAGTCTCACCTATCTTGCTTCCCTATTGGCCAACAGTGCTTTATTGACATATACACAGGACTTCCCCATCATGTGGTGCAATGGACATATGTGTAGACAAAACACCCATGCATATAATATATATATATATATATGCATATATATATATATCTTGCATATATGTCGGCAAACTCTGGAGTAACGAACACCGTACTGGTAAATTGTCGTGTGCTGTCTGAGCTTGCAGAGAAGCCGGCTCTGGAGGTGTGACTTTGTCCTCCCATTTCCCCTTTCAGACCCAAGTGTGTCTGTGACGGGGAGGAGAGAGAGAGAGAGCAGCGAAACCCTACAAGAAGAACACGACCACATCCTTGGGAACAGCTAGAAGGTCTCAGTCTAATTCTGTTTGCTGTCACCAAGTCCTGGGTTACCCAGGAGATTAAAGGTTTATTTAACCCACGTTCCTGGAGTGTGAAGTCTAAGAACATGGCACCGGCTGGCGCTCACGGGTGGGAAAAAGCCTTCCTGCTGGGCAGTGACCAGGCAGCGGGTGTCATGGGGAGAGCAGGTGCAGAGGGAGTCACGTGGAGTGTCAGCAGGGCTGGCTTTGGTGGCGGATGGACTGCTGCCACGCCCCCTGAGCCTGTAAATACCCCGCGCACTAATGTGCTCCGGGGAGCAGAGCCTTCCCGACCGAACCACTGTTTAAAAGCCCCACTTGGCTCTGACTTGGGGTTTTTGTTGTTGTTGTTGTTGTTTTGAGACCATTCAGCTCTGTAGCCCAGGCTGTCCTTCAGCCGATCTGGCCTGGAATTCAAAGAGATCAGGTCTGTCTGTCACCTGAATTCTGGGATTGAAGGCACGAGTGCCACCATGACATGCTCCATCATGCCGGGCTTCTGGGCTGACCGCTTATTAATTCACAGCAGGGATTAAATCTCCGCGTGAGGTTTTCATTTCATTTTTTTATATTTAACTTAATATTATTGTTATTGTTATTATTATTGTGTGTGTGCGCGCGCGCTCGCGCGTGTGCGCGTGCACTCGGGTGCACATGTGTGGGTCTACAGAGTCATTTATGGAGGTCAGAGGACAAGTACTGGGAGTAATTTCTCTCCTTCCGCTGTGTGAGTTCCAGGGATCAAATCCCGGGGCCTTCGCCCTATGCATATCAACAACAATATGTTTACCTTAAAAAGATACTTATGCAGGGCGGTGGTGGCACACACCTTTAGTCCCAGCACTCAGGAGGCAGAGGCAGGCAGATCTCTGTGAGTTCTAGTTCAAGACCAGCCTGGTCTACAAGAGCGAGCTCCAGGACAGTCTCCAAAGCCACAGAGAAACCCTGTGGAGCACATGTGTGCAGTGCCCTTGAAGGGCAGAAGAGGTTATTAGAGTCCCTGGACCTGGAGTAACAGGCAAGTGTGAGTGAAATAATGTGGGTGCTGGGAACCAGACCTGGGTTCTCTGGAAAAGCAGCAAGTCCTCTCAACTCCTGAGCCTTCACTCCATCTCCTTAAAAAACAAAAAACAAACAAACAAAACCCACAGGGTTGCAGTAACCCAGGGTGGTGTTTTAGTTTTTTGAGACAGGCTTTCTGGGACTCTGTAACTCACAGAGATCTTCCCACCTTCATATCCCAGGATTAAGCCTAGCCTTGAGCTCTGTCTGTACAAGAATAAGCTGGAATTCGATCCCGTTACTGGCACCTCCCAAGCACTGGGATTGTAGGAGAGTGCCCCCCACTCTCAACATTCTCCCTGAGTTTGCGTGGGTGTGGCAGTTTGAATGTAATTGGTCCCCACAATCTCATAGGGAGCTATGGCCCTGGAGGAAGTGGGTCAGGTGGGCTTCGAGGTTTCCTATGCTCAGGGTACCATCCAGTGTCTCAGTCGACTTCCTGTTGACTGCAAGATGTAGGACTCTCAGCCACTCCTCCAGCACCGCGTCTGCCTGCGGGCCACCACGCTCCCCGCCGTGGTGATAAAGGACCGAACCTCTGAAACTGTAAGCGAGCCCCTTCAAGTAGATGTTTTCATTTATAAGAGCTGTCATCATGGTCATGGTGTCTCTTCACACCATATCCCCAGAGACAGTGGGAACACTCAATCTGCAGGGATAGCCAGGCGCATTCACCTGCACCGTACCCGTGCTGTCTTCACACTGCGGCGACGCATGGAATGGTTGCGATGGAAACCGTTCAAAAGGATGTTTGCGGACCTCTGGGCTGAAAGGTCAAATGGGGAACAGGCAGGCTCCAGAGGGCTTGTAGTGTGGAGGTGTGGGGATCACAGACCCTGGCCAGAAACCCACTCCTCCATCAGCCTGGGAGCAGGCAGCTGGGAGACAATGTTTACTGAAAACATGTTTACTGAAAACAATCCAATGCCATAAGTTCCTGATAAGGGCTCACTCACTGAAACCCCCTGACTTTGATCTTCCTGATGGCTAGCTACTTTTTTCTGCTCCCTGCTGTTCCCGATTCTAGTGTCAGAGATTTAACCACCAGCCAGGAGGAAAAAGAGAGGTCTGTTGGAGATTTGTGCATGTATGGATGGCAGAAGTTTTTCTGGAGGGAAGTGTTTTTCTTGGGAAGTTCTCCTAAGCCAATTTGGGGAGCACGAAGTTTTCTTAACACAACCGACTGGTCTCTGTGTCATCTATCCCGATGCCCTCGCCACATTCTCGGATACAGGCTGTGCAGGAGGCGGGTCTAAACCTGAATCTGACTGCTACTTCTTCTTGCCTGATAGACAGACACCCGAGGAGACAGAGGGGAAATGGCTTATTTCGGCACATGGTTTCAGAGAGTTCTTCGTAGTTCTTGGCTCTGCTGGTGCTGAGTAGAAGATCAGGGCAGAGACTGTTTATTTCACAGCAAACAGGAAGCACGGACGCAATCCTTAAAGACACACTTCTAGCGGCCAGGTTCTTTCCACAAGGCTTTGCCTCCCAGAATTTCTACGATCTCCCCAGACAGTACCGCAACGCAGTCACAAACCTGTAATCCCTAGCACTCAGGAGGCTTTTAAGCAGGAGGATCATGAGTTCGAGACCAGTTTGGGGCTACAAGTTGAGAACACAGTAAAAATAATCAGGACCTAAAACAGAGCCACCATTTAGAGACCAGACATTCAGTCTATGAGCTGGCGGAGGACACTTCATAATCAAACTGTCACACTGTCACCAGGACAAAAGAGGCAAACCTAAGAGGAAGGACATCCAACAATAGGACCACATGCTTCAGAACAGTCCTGCCATGGATGAGGAGCAAAAATGATGAGTGGACTTTTCAGATCAAACAAGATACAGAGGTGACAAGCAAAAGCCAAAACAGTGGGGATGGTTAGGGAGAAAATGCCACGGGAACTAATACTGGAGGACCGTGGGTAGGCTCTTGCTGCCTGCCAGCCCCGAGTTCAATCCCCAGAATGCTCTTGGTGAAAGGAGAGAGCCAACTCCTTCGAGGTGTCTTCTGACAGCACCCCCACACTAAATAAATGGGGGAAAGGGAACAATTAAAAAGAATAACATCAGGACAACTGGTGAAATACTACCAGGCTTATTTGCTAGGCAACTGTGTATCACCGCTAATGCCCAAGCTGATAGTTACACTGTAGTTGTGTAAAAGGGTGTCCTGCTTTTTAAGAAACACCTACTAAAGTGTAGACGGGCTAAAAGACAAGTCAAAGGGAGGGCCCTCAAATAGTGTGCTAGGAAAGCGGGGTTGAGGCCCACATAGGCCTGCCCTAAAAAAGGACTTGATATTGTTGGGTCGTTAAATTCTACTTTTCTATCCCTAGCTGTTAAGAGCATTTGCTGCTTTTCCAGAGGACCCAGGCTCAATTCCCAGCACCCACACAGGATGGTTCACAACCTGTGTGACTCAGTTCTGGACGATCCAGTAGTCCCTTCTGGCTTCCACAGGCAACAGGCACACATGTGGTACACACACATGCATGCGTGCAGAGAGAACATCCATGTACACATACATGCGTGTGTGCAGAGGGAACATCCACGTACACATACATACATGCTTGCAGAGAGAACATCTACGTACACATACATGCGTGCATGAAGAGAGAACATCCACGTACACACACATGCGTGCGTGCAGAGAGAACATCCATGTACACACATGCGTGTGTGCAGAAAGAACATCCATGTACACACACATACATGCGTGCAGAGAGAAAATCCACATACACATGCATGCGTGCAGAGAGAACATCCACGTACACATACATGTGTGCAAAGAGAACATCCACAGACATAAAATAAAAGTAAATGAATAAGAAATACAGTACCCTGCCAGGTGTGGTGGTGCACGCCTTTAAGCCCAGTCCCGGGGAAGTTGAGGCAGGCTGATCTTTGTGAGTTCAAGGCCAATGCCATCTATATAGTGAATTTCAGGCCAGTCACGCCTACACACTGAGAGCCTGTCTCAAGAAACAAACAACCCTGCTCTTTTGAGGGTAGCCCTGATTTAAAAGCTCCATTTCTCGCAGGAGACTCCCACAACCGTTTCTTCCATACACAGCCTCCAGGGGCTCTGCAAGGGGTGCACCCGCAGGGGAAAAAAAGTTCTGAATTAAGGATGTACCGCTGGCAAGTGTGGCTCAGGGGTGGTGAGCTGGCCTAGCGTGTGCAAGGCTCTGGGTTCGATCCCCAGCCCTGCAAACACACAACCAAACAGCTACCCACATGGCAGACAGACAGACGGACAGACACTAACAGTTGTGAATACATCTAATTGTCGTGTCAGGCATTTTCGGGTCTGTCAGTCAATTGCAGCTCACCAGTGATCCTTCTACACAGAGGCATCTTTCTTGGTAAAATTAAAAAACAGAAAGTGGCTAACGCACACTTTCAGGGACATATATAACAAGATGTAGTCTGATGCAGGGCATTTTGCTGGTCTACTGCGACTTTGGTTAACGCCTTTAATGGAAAAAGATAGGTGTTCTGCCTGGTTCTGTGTGTCAACTTGACACAAGCTGGAGTCATCAGAGAGGAAGGAGCCTCGGCTGAGGAAATGCCTCCTTGAGATCCAGCTGTAAGGCATTTTCTCATTTAGTGATTCATGGGGGAGGGCCCAGCCCATGGTGGGTGGGGCCATCCCTGGCTGCTCATCCTGGATTCCATAAGAAAGCAGGCTGAGCAAGCCGTGGGGAAGCAAGCCAGTAAACAGCTCCCCTCTGCATCAGCTCCTGCCTCCCGGAACCTGCCCTGCTTGAGTTCCTGTCCTGACTTCCTTCGGTGATGAACAGCAATGCTGAAGTGTAAGTCAAGCAAACCCTTCCCTCATCAACTTGCTTTTTGGTCATGGTTGGTGTTTTGCCACAGTAATAGAAACCCTCACCAAGACAATAGGTTAGCACATTTTGGGATCAGGAGGGTTTGTGTACCCAATATGGGCCGTGGCCTCCATATCCTACGCACTTGGCCATCAGTGTTTATAATTGTTAGAGGAGTAGTCTACTCCTTTTATTATTTTGTTTTATTTACTTATTGGTCGTGTTTTGTTGAGACAGGTTCTCTCAATGTAGTCTTGGCCAGTTTTGAACTGGCTGTGTAGACCAGGCTGGCCTCAAACTCCCAGAGATCTACCTGCCTCTTCCAAATGCTGGGGTTAAAGGTATGAACCATCACACCCAGTCTTATTGTGATACTTTTAGAAATTATGCATCAAATAGTGTTATATGATATTTTTTTCGAAACAGCTTATTGCAGTGAAAATTACTACTTTCTTATAAGGGCATGTTTTGCTAGATTCTGCATGTAAATGAAGGGGTCAGTTTTTTAATTTTAAAATGATTTGTTTATTTATTTACTTTATGTGATTGGTGTTTTGCCTGTATGTGTGCCTGTGTGACGGTGTCTGATTCCCTGGAACTGGAGTTACAGACAGTTGTCAGCTGCTGTGTGGGTGCTGGGACTTGAAACAGGATCCTCTGGAAGAGCAGTCAGTACTCTTAATTGCTGAGCCGTTTCTCCAGCCGCAGGGTTTTATTAAGGAACAACTCAGACCTTTAAAATAACTATGTATGAGCTGGGGATAGTAATTCCACCTTCTGGAAGCCGAGGCAGGGAGATTAAGTTCAACTCCATTCTGAGTTATAATAGTGAGTTCTGGGCTGGCCTCGGCTACCTAAGAGACCCTGTCTCAAAACGCTAAAAAAAAAAAAAAAAAAAAAAACTAACCAGTAATTATTACTTTATCTAGTCTGCCCCTTTAAGCAATGTTCACGGTCCTGACAATTTCCACTAGATGGCAGCAGAGGACAGTGGTTTGACTGCCATGTTGTGTTAAATTATTAGAGCACTTGTTATTTATAGTGTGTGCCGTAGTTACGGAGGTCAGAGGACAATTTAAGAGAGTCAGTTCTTCCTGTCATGTGGGTCACAAGGCTCTAACTTGGGTTTTCAAGCTTAGTGGCAAGCCCCTTTACCTGCTGAGCCATTTCCCTGCTGCCTAGCCCATAATTTTGTTTGTTTTCAGACAGCATCTATTTCTCTAGGTAACTGTGGCTGTCCTGAAACTCGTATGTAGACCAGGCTCTCCTCTGCCTCCCCAGTGCTGGGTTTATAGGTGTGGACCACCATGCCTGGCTCTTTTGTTCTGTTTTCTGAGGCTCAGGCAGGCCTGGAACTCTTGCTACGACTACTTCAGTTTCCTGAATACTGGGATCCCAAGGGCGCGATTCTTTAATGTTTCTACAGGGGAGCTATCATTAATCCTTCATCAGTGATCTCAGATCTGAGTCAACTGTTTCCATGTAGCCCTGCCTGTCTGTTTGTGTTTGCCCTCTTTGTGGGCCCTCTCTCTCTGTCTCTCTGTCTCTTTGTCTGTCTGTCTCTCTCTCTGTCTCTGTCTCTCTGTCTCTGTGTCTCTCTGTCTCTGTCTCTCTCTCTCTGTCTCCCTCCCTCCCACACAGAGTTTGGATGCAGTTGGAGTCCACCTGCCAGTCACACCTGCTCTTTCAGCTAGAGTCCTGTCACTAACTAGCATGGGGTCTCTGAACTGTTTGACTTCACTGTAGGCGGGCGTCTAACACCCATCTCAGACATGGTCAGCCTCCTCCCCCGGAAGCCCCTCCCACAGGCCAGGGTTCTGTTCAGAAAACCCTTTGGAGGATGCCGATTCCAACCTGTGTCTTCCTTACACACAGGGCCCAAGCGCTGATTTATCTCATCATGCAACACAGACTTTTCCACACCAGAAGCAAGGTGGGTGGATTCTCTCACATCCAAGCTTTCTTTGGAAACAAAACAAAAACAAAAACCCAAAAAATTTTAAAGGAAGTATCTCACTATGTAGCCCAGGCTAGCTTTGAGTTTAGTGCTTTTGTTTTTCAAGACAGGGCTTCTTTGTGTAGCCCTGGCTGTCCTGGAACTTGTTCTGTAGAGCGAGCAGGCTGGCCTTGAACTCACAGAGACCTGACTGCCTCTGCATTCTGAGTGCTGGGATCAAAGGCGTGAACCACCACAGCCGGGGGCCTGGGTAGCTTTGAAATCACAATCCTTTTGTCTCTAGCTCTTTTTCTTTCTTTTGAGACAGTGCCTCACTACGTAGACCAGCCTGACCTGGAACTCACCGAGATCAGCCTACTTCTGCCCTTTCAGTACCGGGACTAAAGGCACGAGCCACCACACCCAAGCCTGCCCTGGCTATTGAATTTTGGCTTTACAGATGGGAGCCACCTTGCACAACTCTGCCTTCCTTCCACACCCCTTTTTGCCTCAATCCGTGGGTCAAAACGAACCAAGGGATCTGGAAGAGCTGGTGCGGTGCTCCCACTGTTCTGCAGTGCCCGTGGCGGAATGTTCTAGTATCCAACCTAACCTGAATCCGGTCCCGCTGGTGTGTTCAGAAGGAGCTGGGACAGGCTTCACACAGGCATCAAGAGTGTCAGATAGTCCTCCCAGTGGGAAGCTTTGCAGAAGTGCACAGATGTTTCAGGTAATGGAGACAAGATCTGTTCCTGGCAGGTGTGAGAGATGCCTTGCTTTCGAAGCTCCATGCCCCCTGGCTAACAGTGTTTTTGATAACAACTCGGGGCATGCAGGTCTGGCTTCCAGGTCCCCAAGGGGAACTTGCAGTTAGAGGAGGAGCCCAAAGCTATGGTGATTCCTTGCCTAGATAAGTTAGTTAAGTAGGGGTCATTTTCATTAGAAACAATGTTGTTTAGTAACATAGTTGACACATACCATCTTATCTGTTTCTAGGAATGCATAGTTAGAAAAACAGAACACAGGTCCTCCAGGAGAAAGGGGAAAAATTGACCCTTCATCCTGAAACCTAGACATGGCAACAGACGATGGCCAGGTGGGGTTGGGGGTGCATTTGTTATCCCTCCCCCAACCGACGCCTCTGACTGAGTTAAGGAGTTCAGCAAAGTGAGTGGTTGCATTGTTTATTTGGTTTGGTTTTCTTGAAACTAATTCTCTCTATATAGCCTAGGCAGACTCCTGGCACTACTGCCTAGCCTGAGAGTTCTGGGATTACATGCATGTGTCACTCAGGTTTTTTTTTTTTTTTTTTTTTTACTTTTTGTGAGACAGACTTTCATGTAGTCCAGGCTAGCCTTAAATTCCAGCATGTAGATCTCCAGTGCCCAATTCTCCTGCTTCTGCCTCCTGAATTCTGAGATTACAGGTGTGTGACAACATGGTTTGCCTTTTTTCTTAAAGACACTTTTTTTGGGGGGGCATGATGGCATATGTTTTCAATTCCAGCACTTGGGAGGCAGAGGCAGACAGAGCTCTGTGGGTTTGGGGCCTGCCTGGTCTATATAGTGAGTTGCAGCACAGCCAGGGGTGTGTAGAGAGATCCTGCCCCCTCCCCCCCAAAAAAAGACAATTTTGCTATGTTGGCCAGACTGATCTTGAACTTGCAGCAATCCTCCTGCCTCAGCTTCCAGAGTGCGAGGATTACAGATGTGAGCCACTGTGCTTCGTGTAAATGAATGTGTTGTGGATAGAAACAGATCCACAGTTATAGGAAGGATCCACACAGACAGGTAGACTGTGCCTGGGGGACAAAGATTGCAATTAGCTTGAAAGAAACCTTGGGACATGATGCGGATAGCCCCCTCTTGATTGTGGTGGTGCTTTTCGAGCTGTGTGCACGCACACGCAAAAACTGCCCGATTTAAGTATGTGTAGACTCTTTTCCTTAAAAAATAAAAAAAAGTGATTTTTTCCCCCAAGATAGGGTTTCTCTGTGTGTCCCCGGCTCTCCGGGCTGATCTTGAACTAGGCCAGCTTCTAATGCAACCTGGCCTCAAACCCATTATGTAGTATGGGTTGCCTTGACCTTCTGAGCCCAGAAAGTGCAAGCTACGAAATGTCCGCCTCTCCATAGAAATAGGGGTGAAGGTACGCTGAGGTCATACGCGTTGATGGGAACAATCCATGTCTCACAGTTCAGTAAAAGAACGCGCTTCTCACTTTGCAACATTCAAGGAAGAGCGGTGGCCGGCAGCCCTGCATGTTTTGGATTAGCGATTTTACCAGAGTTCCTTTAACTTCCCACTTTCACCGTCTGGATCGCGGAGGGGATTAAACAGCATAGTAGTCGTCATCGAGCCGGCAGCCAGTGGAGGGACACCGTTCAGTCCCGCGGGGGAATCGTCGCTGGGATCCCACAGAGGGAGGGGGAGGGAGGGCAGAAGAGGGCCCCGTGGGTGGCCGGGATGTCCCCAGGGCTGGGAGAGCAGTGTCAAAGTGAAGTCCACCACTTGCGAAGGGTGAGACGGCTCAACAGGTCATCCTCACAACCACCCGACACCCGCGCAGTCCAAGCACTGTGAGCACATGCGTACAGAGATGCACGGGGGGGGGGTGTTGGCTCTAGGTTTTGCGGGCGTTGCCAGGCAACTAGCATCTCAGCGCTGTCTGCAGTTGGTGTCTGTGCAAACCCCAGTTCCCTGGCTGAGTCAGGCAGTGTGGCTCCTGGTCCCTAGGAGTATTTGCTCTGACTTCCTGCAGGAAGGGAGGCGGGGCATCCCTCGTGCTGACTGGCATGAGTCTCCCCTGGTCCTCCGCTCACTTAGGACGGAGCCCCCAAGTCCTCTCAGGTGTGGGGTCTTCACCAGGGCGTCCTTCCTCAGACTCCCATGCTGACATTAACATCTTCACAAAGCCCGCCTCACTCTGTCGTTTGCTGAGCCAGCTTCTTTAACAAAACGTTTGCTTTCGGTTGTTTGTTTGTTTGTTTTTTGTGATTCTTAGTGCCTTTTTAATTTTCCTTGTTTCCCAAGGGCTGATTCGAGCTCATCTTTTATCTTTGCCAAAGACTTTTCAACTCAGCTTCAAAGATTTCTTTTTTCTTTTCTTCCTTTCTTTTTATTTTCCTTCCTTCCTTTTTTGTTTTCTTCCCCCAAGATGGGGTTTCTCTGTGTAGTGCTGGCTGTCCTGCAACTTACTCTGTAGACCAGGCTGGCTTCAAACTCACAGAGATCTGCCTACCTCTGCCTCCCAAATTCTGGTCTTAAGGGTATACCAGAATATATACCCTTAATAATATATAATATATATATATATATATATGCACCACTACCCAACCCAAATATTTCTTCTATATTAAGTAAGTTCTTCATATTTGCTCTACCAGAAGACCAGAGTTTGTTTCCCAGAACTCACATCAGGCTAATCACAGAGAGGCCTATAGTTACAGCTCTATGGCATCTGGTATTATCTCCTGGCTTCTGTGAGCACACACGTGTGTGAATGTTATACACAAACACATTTACACATGCACACATATCACACACACAGCAGACACATAACACACTCAGAGCACACACACAATATACAGAGAGTACACACACACACAGCACACATACACAGCACACAGACCAGAGCACACACACAGCATACATACATGCATATCACATACACACAACAGGCACAGAGCATACACACAGTATACATACATGCATATCACACACACACAACAGACACAGAGCACACACACAGCATACATACACAACAAAACAACACACAATGCATACAGCACACACACATCACACATAAAAATATTAACTAACATTTTTGTGTGTGGATGCCTTACCTGCATGTGTGTATGTATACACATGTGTACAGCTGAGTCAGAAGAGGGCATTAGATTACCCAGGACTGAGCTAACAGACAGTTGTGAGCCATCATGTAGGTCCTGGAAACCAAACCTGTGTCCTCTAAAGGGCAGCCACTGCTTTTAATCATGGAGCCGTCTCTCCTACCCCTAAAAATCTTTTGAGAGAGATGAATCTCTCTATGTACATAAACGTTTCACTTGTGTGTATATAAATGCACCAAGTTTGTGCCTGGTATCCACAAGGCCAGAAGAGAACATCAGATTCCCCGGAACGAGAGTTCTAGATGGCTGTGAGCGTCATGTGGGTGATGGGATGGAATCCAGGTTCTCCTCAAGATTCCAAGTGCTCTTTGCCGCTGAGCCTTCTCTCCGGCCCTTAAAAATCTCTTAAAAACTTTGCAGCCGGGCGGTGGGGATGCACGCCTTTAATCCTACCACTCAGGAGGCAGAGGCAGGTGGATCTCTGAGTTTGAGACCAGCCTGGTCTACAGAGAGAGTTCCAGGACAGCCAGGACTGTTACATAGAGAAACCCTGTCAAATAAATAAATAAATAAACAAATTTTTTCACCTGGGTGCTGGGGATGGGGCTCAGTTAGTAGAATGCTTGTCTACTGAGCACAAAGCCCTGGGTTGGAGCCCCCAGCACTATGTAAACTGGACACGGGTGCTGTGTGTCTGCAATCCTGGCACTCAGGAGGCAGACAGAGGATGATAGAACTTTAAAATCCGCCTCAGTGACATAGGGAGCGCTGGGCTAGCCTCGAATATGTCAGCCTGAACACACACACACACACACACACACACACACACACACACACACACACACACAGTGTGCACAGCGAAACACATCTATACTCCCAGCTGTCCAGGAGGCCGAGATAGGAAGATTACTGAGTCCACGAGTTTGAAACCAGCCTGAGCAACATAGCCAGACTCAAGCAACACCTTGCAGACATCTGCACAAGCCAGGTTCAAGGACACCAGACAGAAATACTGGCAGTCTGAGACTTTCCAAAGCATCCCTTCTGTCTCAGGCAAGCACTGCTTGGAACACAAACGGAATCCGCAGACTTTCCTGTTAAATGAATCACTCTGTTACAAGGCCTCACTTGCCACAGATTTCCCTCGGTGCGTTTTTCTGAAGACAACCTATAATTTAGCAAGCAAGCTGAAGGCGCTGGAAACGCTTTTGCATAATAAATCAAAATGTTTGAGCAGGTGGCTTATGAACAGAGGTGTGGTTTTCTCTGAGCGCCGTATGAGATGTCTGCCAGTCGCTGAATGAGGACAGCATCTCAGGCTGGGGAGATAGCTCAGCGCCAGAGAAGAGGGCAGCATCTTGCTGGGCATGAGGACACAAGCCTGTAGTCTCAGAACTCAGCGGGCGGAGACAGGAAGAGTACGCGTTTGTGAACCCAAGTTACATAATGAGAACCTATACCCAGCATCACAACTCTCTTTCTAAAATCCCAATTAAAAATAACGAGACTAAGCTGGGCGTTGGTGGCGCACGCCTTTGATCCCAGCACTTGGGAGGCAGAGGCAGGTGGATCTCTGTGAGTTCGAGGCCAGCCTGGTCTACAGAGTGAGTTCCAGGACAGCCTCCAAAGCCACAGAGAAACCTTGTCTCGAACAACCAAAAAAAACCCCAAATAAACAAACAAAAAAACGAGACTAGGTAACTTGACCCTGAGGTAGGCAGGCAGACTCTCTTGACAGCAGAACCAGTTTCTAGGGTCAGGGGAGCCATAGATGTAGGGAAAAGGTAAAAGGGTTTTTTTTTTTGTTTTTTCTCAAAAGAACACAAAGTACAGGGAGCGTGGATCAAAGAACTACCTAAAGACAAATCAGTTTTTTCCCCATTAGTGGGGTTGAATCCAGGGCCTTGTGTACATTAGGAAAGCATTCTACGACTGAGCTACATTCATGCCTCTGTTTGTTTGTGATCAGGTCTTACGAAGTAGCCTGCCTTGGCCTTGAACTTGTGATGCACCTGCATCTGCCTCCCTAATGCTGAAGTCACGGGTTGTGCACCAGGATGCCCAGATAACGTTTAACTTCCAGCTACTTCTAGACTTGGAGGGAAGCTGCGAGTGTGCTTACAATAGGAAAATGGCCCCGCAATGATTTATTCCTGCCGTGGGTCTCAAGTTCGAGGCCAGCAGAAGAAAGATCCCATCTCAAAACAAAAAGAAAAAAAGAAAAAAAAAAGCAAAAAAGAAAAAGAAAAGAAAATGGCTGGCAGCTGGTGGGATGGTTTGGTGGGTGAAGGCGTCTGATGTCAGTCCTGACCCCCAACTCCAAGTCTGATGTACTTCCACCATGAGAATAGCAAGTGCTTTCCCACAGACTCGTGAACGTGAACGCTTGGTCCCTAGGTGATGGTACTGTTTGGGAAGGTACGAGACCTCTTATGGGAGGAAGGATGCCTCTGGGGCGGGCTTTGAGAGCGTATAGCCCTGCCAGACATCAGTTTGTCATCTGTGCTCTCCTGTGTAGCTGAAGCTGCGAGTTTTCAGCTCCCTGCCCTGCACACCGGCTGCCATGCCTGCTGTGGACCACGCGTTTGGAACCGTATGCCCAAACAAGTATGTTTTATGACTGTGTAACTCAGGCTGGCTCCTAACTTGCAATCCTCCTGCCTCCGTCTCCCAAGTGCTGGGATTACAGATGTGTGCCGCCATGCTCGCTCTCAATAAATACGTTTTCAGGAAATGAGTTTTAAGTAGCTTTAGTATGGTAGAATCCCACTTGTGTTCCTATTCACTTTCTGTCTTACAGTGTTTAGGGTGATGGAATTAGATAATTTTCTGTTGTGGCAAGGGCCCGGGGACGACCTTTGTACACACATCTGTGCACGAATCTCTGAGTTTCCAGAGGGCGTTTCTCTTTTCCTTTTTTAAAAAAAGATTTCTTTAACTTTCTTGAGATTATAATATAATTACATCATTTCCAAGGTTACTGATGACAAATTGTTGGCTGGAAACGTTTGTAATCTGTTGGGGCATTGGTGGCACACGTCTTTAATCTCAGCACCCGGGAGGCGGAGGCAGGGGGATCTCTGTGAGTTCGAGGCCTGCCTGGTCTACACAGAGAAACCCTGTCCCCAAAAACAACAATAGCAACAACAACAAAAATAAAAATAATTCTTAAATCACAGTTCTGACTCTAGCCTGCTTTATGAGGAAATTGGGACATGATTTCACATACAGATTATTCATCTCCTTGAAACAAATTATCCAACCCAGTGGTTTGTTGTTCTGTACAAGAACAAATTTAGCACAAGTATCTCGACATTTGAGAGCAGAGGCGGTGTGGGATGTGGTGTAATTACTTGACATGTGGAATGCCCATCACTGCAGTTTTCTCATGGTCTTGACTAAGTGGCTTCATGGAGTACAAAGTACAAATGCACGAGAACAGGCTTCATCAGTGTGTTGAGAGGGCAGGTTACCAAAATGACTGAGTTTCTCCAGAAGAAGGCAACCGTGCATTTCTTTGGTTATTTTGAATACTCACTTATGTAAAAAGTTCGGAAATTGCACTCAGAAGTTGTACATGCGGGAATGTGAACGCCACAGAGTTCAGGTAGAGGTCACAGGGCAACTTGTGGGAGTCAGTTCTTTCCTTCCATCATGTGACTCTTAGGGGATGGCACTTGGGTCACTGGGCTTGGTGGCAGGTGCCTTTCCCTGCAAGCCACCTCCCTGGCCCTATGCATGTTAAGATTTATTTTTATTAATGGTGCACACGTGGATCCTCTAAAGTTGGAGTTGCAGAGTGGCTGGGAGATGAATCTAGGTCCCCTGCAGGAGCAGGTTTCTCTGTAGATTTGGAACCCCTTCCTGGAACTCGCTCTATAGACCAGGCTAGCCTTGAACTCACAGAGACCCGCCTGCCTCTGCCTCCCGAGTGCTGGGGTTAAAGGCGTGCGCCACCACCTGGCTTTCTTTCCCCTTCTTAATGCACATTGCTCCGGTCTTGCCTTTTCAATTGCCACCAAGGTCTCCCTGTCTGCGGGCTCAGCCTCTCCCTGTGTGTATTTGCTAGAATATCATCATTTTGAGATGTGAAAAAGCTCTATCCCGTGTTCTTCTCCAAGAGGGCTTCTTTTTACTTTCCTCCTTTACGTAAAGTCTCTTTGGGAAGGCTGGCATCTTCTTATTTTGGAGACAGCCTTACACCACAGCCCAGAATGACCCTGACTTTTCAATGTCCCTGCTTCAACCTCCGGTGCGTTGGGATTACAGCTGTGGTCTTTCAGGTCTAGCTGCCATATTCTTTCCTGGAATGTCTGTAGTTATGTTTTTTAGCCCCTGGTGGCCATTTCTCAGGCTTTATCTTTCCTAGCCAGCCTGTATTCTCTTCTTCTTCAGGCTCAAAACAAAACCTCAGCTTTGGGCTAGCATCCAAAGGGACGACAGTGTTTGCCTCGCCTGCTTTCTCGAGGTTGAGCCTCCCGGCTTCTGCTGTGACGTTTTTTTTTTTTTTTTTTCTTTATCTTCCTGGACTTAAACGTCAGAAGACCTGAGGCTCAGCCCTTGAGTCCCCTCTCTACAGCCCTGTTTGTGATGTGATCAGTGATCAACTTGATGAGTTGATGCATGCCTAGTTCTGAAAGACCCTTCAGTCTTTCTCTTGGGACCCTCCCCCCAAAGACCACCAGGGAGCCGAAGTTCGTTGCAAAACGCAAGAGGGTTTTTATTAAGCCGGCACACCGGGGTTCAGCAGCCTTGGGAAGGAGTGAACCCCGAGCAGAAATTACAGCAAGTTTTTTAAAGCCTAAAACCGCAAACGGGGTGGTGGGGGTACAAGGGGAGTTTGGAAATTGGTGCCAGACCTTCATGAATGACGTATGCTTGTGGCTGTCTGGCTCGTTATCTGTCTCAGGCAATGTCTGTGCCCTTGCTGAACTTTGTGACCGACCTGGAACCTTGAGGTCTGGGGAGTGTTCCCAAGTCCTTGAGGACTGAGGTCTGGGGAATATTTTCAAGTCCTTGAGGATCACCAGAGGAAGATGTTTCAGTGTAGCTGCTCATGTCTAAGGATGGGACAGCTTAGGAATTTTCCAACTATTTTCTAACTGTTGGGGTTCCTCAGTACTTAGTGGAGTGCACTCCTGGGGTGTCTCTCGGGCCATTTCCAGAGGCGGCTCACCAGGAAGAGAGAACGTGCCTGGAATCACTGAATGTGGGTAGCACCAGCTCATAGGCCTCAGCCTGGATGGAACAGGGGGGAAGAAGAGGGAATCTTGCTAGTACAGGCTTGCTGTCTCTCTGCTTGGCCACCACAAGGTGAGCAATGCTTCTATACCATGTCTTCCTCTGTCATTAAGCTCTGTCTCACCACAGGTCCGCACAATGGAGACTCTGAAACCGTGAGCTGATGCCTGCTCTCTCTCTTAAAATAGGGTCTCATGTTCCCCAGCCTGGCCTTGAACTCATGATCTTTGTGCCTCTATTTTCCATATTCTGGGATTACAGGTGTGTGCCACCATACCCGGCAGTTCTCTTCCTTTAAACAAGTCTCAGGTGTTTGTCACAATGACACAAAGTTTGACTAACAGACACACACACACACACACACACACACACACACACACACACACACCTATATTTGCAGTGCTATGGGCTTAATCCAGAGTCTCACATTAGTTTTGTTGTCAACTTGACTGACACCAGCTGGCGTCATCTGGGAAGAGAGAATCTCCATCAGGTTGCTTTATAAGCAAGTCCGTGGGGCATTTTTTTTATTAGTGATTGATGTGGAGGGCCTACCCCCTGTGGGTGGAGCCACAGCTGGACAGAGGTCCTGGGTTGTTTAAGGATGCCGACTGAGTAAGCCATCGAGAGTAAGCCAGTAATCAGCGTTCTTCCCTGCCCCCGGTTCCTGCTGGGCGTTTCTGCCCTGACTTCCTTCAGTGATGGACTGTCATTGGAATGTGCAAGGCAAATGAAGTCTTTCCTCCCCAAGTTTGTTGTGGGCAGTGCTCTATCACAGTCACGTGGAGCCAAACCGGGACAGTCACGATGGAAAGAAAGGCTTGAGGGGCTGTAGATGCCCACAATGGCTACCAGAGTCTGGTTCCTGACACCTGTATTGGATGGTTCACAGCTGCCTGTAACTCTGGCTTCAGGGTCTCTTTTCTTTCTTTCTTTCTTTCTTTCTTTCTTTCTTTCTTTCTTTCTTTCTTTCTTTCTTTCTTCCTTTCTCTCTCTCTCTCTCTCTCTCTCTCTCTCTCTCTCTCTCTCTCTCTCTTTTGGTTTTTCAAGACAGGGTTTCTCTGTATTGCTTTGCAGGCTGTCCTGGAACTCGCTCTGTAGACCAGGCTGGCCTCGAACTCACAGAGATCCTCCTGCCTCTGCCTCCCGAATGCTGGGATTAAAGGCGTGCATCACCAACATCCAGCTTGCTGGCTTCAGGATTTCTGATGCTCCCTTCTGGCCTTTGTGGACACACACACACACACACACACACACACACACACACACACACACACACACACACACACCTCTTTTAAACAGTGACAAGAAAGGACAGAAATGTTAAAAAGAAATGCATAGTCTATGATGGCAGGACTGTCTAAAAGTGACTGGGCAAGCTGTGGTACCCGGATGGGTAACTGTGCACAGGGCAGATCACTGAGCGGGGTGCAGGAATTTGTATGCAGGGCCTTTGGGCTATGGGAGGCATTACAAATACTGCCGGAAGCCTTGCGCTGTCTTCCTCTGTTCGGAGCAGGGAAACTGTCACTCCACTTAAAAAAGAGAAAACAAAACCGGTGTTTTCCCATTTCCTTCCCTCCTGGAGTCCGTTCCCGGTCTTCTCTCCTTCGTCACGGCTTTTCTCCACAACATTGACCCCTCGTGTCTGCAATCTTCGTCTCTCGGCCCACTAACCTCTGACATAAAGTATTAATTTTTGGGATTTTCTCCCCCCCTCTTTCTTTGAAGTGCTCCTTCTGGCTACAAAAACTTCCAATTAAGTTTTTTAAATAAAAGATAGAAGTTAAAAGCAACGGCTGCCTCGGGTTAGAGGGATGAAAACTTGTAGTAGCTTGGAGCTGTACTTCAAAAAGAGAAAACTCAATTTTAAGCATGTGGAGCTTCAGTTGTGAAATACATTGTGTTTCAGAAAATGAATCTGTGGGTACTGTTGGCCTCAGAAGAGAGAAAACCGCAAGTCGTTTACGCTGCTGTATTTACCTATAAGATGTCGTTTCCCCATTGAATTTCTGAGAGAAAGATTTTTTTATTACTTTATGTGTATGATGATTTGCCTGCATGTGTGTCTGTGTGCCACGGGACTGCAGTGGATCCTCTGGAACTGGAGTTACAGACGGTTGTGAGCCGCCACGTGGTTGCTGGGAATCAAACCCGGGTCCTCTGGAAGAGCAGCCCGTGCTCTTAACCACTGAGCCGTCTATCTGCCCAGCCCCTCTCACATTCGGAAACGTATCCTATTTTATTGTATTTGTTACTGATGTGCATGTGTGTGAGGCTGTATGGGTTTGTGCGGGCCATGCATGTGTAGGTATTTCTGGAGGCCACAGGACACCGGATTCCCTAGGACTGGAGTTGCAGACAGTTGGTTGGGTTGGTTGCACGCAAGGCTGATGTGGGTGCTGGGAACCGGACTCAGGTCCTCTGCAAGAGCGGTGAGTGCTCTTCACTTCTGAGCCACCTCTCCAGTACCAAGATTCATCGACTTTTGAGAGGTATTCGAGATCAAGCCCAGGTCTTGTATCTCCTGGGAAACTGCTCTATCCTTGAGCTATACCCGCCCGTGAGATTGTCACCCGTGCTGTACCAGGGATGGAGCCGACAGGCCAGTGAGACATGGGTTGTGAATGGATTCGCCAAAGATAGAAAGCAGAGGCAGAGTTTATTAGATGCACTGCAATACGGAGAGGAACTGGCTATAGTGTAGCTTTTAAATTACATTTGCGTGCGTGCGTGCGTGCGTGCGTGTGTGTGTGTGTGTGTGTGTGTGTGTGTTAAGGCACCTGTGTGGAGGTCAAAGGACAATTTGTGGGACTTGGTTCTCACC